TCTTTCCTTCCCTAGACTTCCTCCCATAGACTCAGCCTGGCCTCATCCTTTGCCCTTTATTATTGGGTTCCCACTCCTTAGAGGAGCACTCCCACCCAGAATCTCCCCCAGTTGCCATGGGATTCCCTGACACCCCCCAGCAGGCCTGGTTCTTGGTCACATGATCTCCCTCCTGGTATCCCATTATTCATTCTCTCCCCTGGACAGGTATGTTGAAACAGATGCAGGTGAGGCAGGATCCTCACCCCCACACTCAATCCCATCCACTTAGAGGGCCAGCCCACCTTGTGACATGCAGCAAAACCAAAATGCACAAAAGGCTTGTATTGTATATGAGATTAACAAAACTCAGCATTTACAAACATGAGGACTGGTATTTTAAGGTAAGAAATACACATTTCCCAGATGCCAAAGGACTGTCTGGTTCCTGGAATTTGTCATTTAAGGAAGGTGGGCTAATTTGTGGGACCATAAAATAAACTACTGATACAGCAAATAAAAAAATCAAATGCCCCATGAGTTATAAATTTTCCTGCTCACATTTCTTTGGATAAATTAAATAACAGTTTCCATAACAACCTGAAGCCCTTCTTCATTGGCATGAACTATATTTGGCTAATTTCAAGGGTTTTTTAACACCTCTGAGGAGAGATTTGTAAATGGCTCACTTCTAGCTGAGAAAGAAGCTGTGTATTCATGCTGACTTTCAACTGTCACTGCTTTATACTATATCATTAGGAAAGGATATTTGAGATAAATTGGGGAGGGGGATCTTTATTTATTTTTTGTTTTAATGTTTTGCAAGGATCATCCTGCAAAATAGTGTGTACGAGGTTATATATCTGAATGTGGGGGATGGGGGGGTTATTGCTTGAAGTTGCCAGCAGAGTCAATGCAATGACCTTGAAGAACATGCAGCCTGCAATATGGTTCTGAGTGCCAAGAGATAACACAGCCTGCCCTGGAAAGCAACTTTACTATACAAAGGGTCAAAGTTTAGAGATGGCTACATTTAAGAATGAGATTCAGT